ACCCGGTGGGCGTGGCCGGCCGTGCGCCCGACGCCGGAGGCCGCGGCCCGGCGTCCCGGGGACAGGGAGGGGGCGCGTACCTCTCCACCGCAGAGGGAAACTCGCCAAGTCCCGGTGACTGAGAATAGAGATTATTTCCGGGGACTGCCCCGCCACCCCTCCAGGGCAACCACTAGCAGTCTCTATTTTAATGTGCCGTGCGGGCAAGGCGCACGCGCACTGCCGAGCTTCCGTGAGGGGGCGAGCGGACCGGCGAAGAGGACCCGCCGCCACCGCCGCCGCGCTCTCTCGCTCTCGCCCAGCCTCCATCTTGGATCGGCGCTTCCAGCCCCCGCGCCGCTGCCGCCGCATTCCCCCTCTTTCCCGCCCCCCGCCGCCGCCGCCGCCGCCCGCACTCACCTCAGCTGCCCATACGGGCGCCGCCGGCCGTCGACCTAGTTTCCCCCCAAAAGTCTCCGGTGTGTTATTCCCGATGTGGGGGGGTTGTTACGGGGTGGTCGCCGGGGGTTCGGGAGCGGGGGCCGCGCCTTCAACGGAGCTGCAATCCTAACCCGCCATCTGGTGGCATTTTCCACACGCCAATGGCGCCGCTGCAGACTTGGGTCCGGACCGCCCTCTGCTGGCCGCGGTGCTTACTGCCTCACTGACGGGACGGGCCTGCCCGGAAAAGGGAGGGAGCTGAGGCGCGAGCTGGGGGCCGCGGCGAGGACGCGCGCAAACGCTCTCCTGTGGGTATTGCACGCACGCGCGCCAGCGGGGCGGGAAACGTGGCTTGTGCGTGGCGGCTCCGCCCCCGCAGGCAAGCTCGGCCTATCGCGAGCGGCGGATACCTCTTCGTGAGGACGCTGTGGACAGTTCGTGGGCCGCGCGAGGCGGGCGGAAGGAGGACTGGTGGCGCCTGCGCCCCTCTCGCCGAGCTGCCGCCCGCCATTTTTGTAGCTTTCCCGAGATATAGGAGAGAAACCCGCCCCCAGCCCCTTCATTGACGTCCCTTTTTAGGCCGTGGGACTGGCGCTTACTTGCGGTCCCGCCGAACTCCAGCTTCCTTTCTCCTCGCCCGGCACGCGCGCTGCGGTACCGGAGATACTGATAGCATAAAGCCGTGCTCCCGCCTCCCGGGTTTAAATAGGTCTCGGAGTTTGGCGTTGTTAGAGATATATTGTTGACTGTAGACTGGGCCCTTTCCCGGGCGAGGGTGAAAAAAGGTTTTGAGGACCGTTTGGGACCTCCCTCACCGCTAGTGATCTAGTCGCTACAGTGCCAGTGTACTGGCGTCTTCCGTACAGACGCTCTGCGATGCGGGCTTTGCATAAGGCGGCAGCATTGGCTAGTGAGTGAGAAAGAAATGTGCCTACACTGGGAAAATACAGCCTCAGCTTTCGAATTAGATTTCTTCTCCCACAGCCTAACACTAGTGGTTCTGACATGGACATGTGAATCCTAGGCTTCGTGCTGCCAAACGGGAAACCGACTAACGTTAGATCGTGACCAAAATATCCCCTTGAACCTAGCCTCTTTCCAACTGCCTCTTCGTGGGTGAGGCTCCTTTACCTGCTCACAACTTTTAAGTGCAAAGTGAACCCTTAAGCTCCCAGGTCATCAACCCCCAGTTTTATGATTAAATTCTCTGTTGCTTTAGCCAATCTTATTTCAATATGGCTCAGTTCCTTTATCATCTTCAGGGTCAGTTTCCAATAGGTTACCCCTATTTCTGATTTCTCCCTCAAGGGTCACAGGTTTAACTACGTTAGCCAGGGTTACTTATGAAGCCTGGTTTATCGCTGGAGAAAGGCACAACCGATTTGTTGAGGTATTAATTCTTGACTAATCACTGGCTCATTGCCTTTCTTGTTCTCTTTAATGATTCTACTTTTCCTTCTTACTAAAGACGCCAATCCCAATTCATATCAATAACTTCTTCTAGTTTACTGGGATCAGAGCTATGGAATACCAATTCAAGCTTTATATTCTCTGCACCTTAAAATTATCTGTTACTGCATCCTGTTCATAACTCAAAAATTCTCACTAAATTAACCCATTCTTCCCTTTTTAAAACCAGTCCTCCTTGAACTGTATATGTCATCCCTTCCAATCCCCCCTTCCTCCACTACTTTCCTATGATCTTTTAAGTCTTCTATAACTTATCTGCTGGCTTCTTCCTATTTTTTTTTAACAGTTTCCATTGTTTTAAATTTAGTGCTAACACTGCCTCCAGTAACTGTCCTATAATCTTCCTTCATCATCATTGATTTCTCAAAAAGGCAGTGATGACCTTCATTTCCAACCAACTCTATCTTATACTAAGAACTTTTCAACATCTTGTAAATATAAAAAATTAGTCAACTTTGAGTTTATAGTAACCTAAAACTAATGTTGCCTTCTCATTTCATCAATAGTTGTACTCGTGTTTATAGATAGTAAGCTAATCCCATATCCTCTAAATTGTAGCCAGATAAGGACAGATTTGACTCTTTTCCTTCAAATAAAGTCCAAATTACATCATATATCCTTAATTAGAAACAAGGAAAATCCTTTTTTTCCTACCCTGTCCTCATCCTGACAAACTCTTATTGCCTTATCTAGAACAATTACAATAGATTTTGGTAAAGTCCTGGTCTTTCATTCATCTCCCTTCAAAAAAAAATGCACAAAAGTTTGCTGAAGTTCTGTGGCTTACAAAATACAATCTGAACTCCTTCAAGACATTCAGAAGATAGTCTGATCTATTTTCAATTTCTCTACTTTGTCATAAGTTCTTGTAGTTGATCTAATAAGCCTCAAATGTAAGTGAAGAACGCTGATATTCAATCTTTAGTAATTAGTATACTAAAGAAATAGGTCCCATAATATGTTGACTTTTTATAAAATCACAATTCCCAAAACCCTCTGCTTGTTTACTGAAGATGCTACATCTCTTGGCAGAGATTTTTTTTTTTAAAAGATTTTATTTTTTTAAAAAAAGAACTGGGGTAGAAGGACTGAGGTAAGGGGTTAGAGGATACACCAAAGACAGAGTGGGGAGTAGAACAGAGTGACGGGAATATACTACTGAGGGGAGCAGTAGGCAGGTTAGGAGAGGTCTGCCATGCCATGTAGGTCACCTCAATGTAGGTCACCTCCCTGGCTGAGGATAGAGCTCGTGCTGCAGTGGCTCTGATAGCTTCATAGTGCTGTGCTTTACCTGTTGCGCCACCAGGGAGGGCCTCTCTTGGCAAAGATTTTTAACCACAATTTTCATGGCAAGTTTCAAGTCATAAGTGTGAACAAAATATCAAAAAGGATGTGTGGAACTAGTGTTAGTAGGGTTTACATAAAGTTAGAGTAAAGAATAAAATAATAGTAGAACAGCCTGTTGCCTAGTTCAAGTTTCCTGTTGTTCTTAGAATTTCTACTTTAGTAAGCTCATTTCAAATGACCAGAAAGTAAGCCTGGTCTACTTTGAAGAGTCATCCTTGATAGATTAGATGTCTGAAAAGAAGACACATGCCCATTAGACTCAATCTCTTAGTCATTCTGGTCCAAAGGAATGTTTACTATTATAAATATGAAAAATTTATGTACCTATAATGTACATGTACATTATAATGTACCTATAAAGTCATTACATAATAAGTGGTTAACATGCCTTAAACAATATGAAGAACTTTGCTTTGTAACAAAAAGAACTAGTTTGGGACTAGTTAGATGGCTTCTGTCCTTTGAATGCTTGATGGAACCTGTATGGTGTTTTTCCTCTTGGTAATATTAGCATGCATAAAATTTCAATAATAATCCATTGACCCTAAAGTTCTGCTTAAAAAGATATTCAGTCAACTTGTTTCCAAGGCCACAATGATGGTATTCCTTTCATAGGGTTTTGTTTTTTTTTTGTGACACTATCTTTTAGAGTAGTTTTAGATTCATAACTAAAATTGAGAGGAAGTTACTAACACTTTCATATTTTCCTTGACCACAAACATGTACACCTTCCTCCCCCATTGTTATCACTTTCACCAAAGTGGTACCATTTTTTGCTAACGATCAACCAATAATAACATCATAATTATCCAAAGTCAATAGTTTAAGATTCATTCTTGGTGACGAGCAAGTCACCAAGACAAAGTATAATGACATACATTTATCATCACAGTATCACTGTTTTCAGTCCAAAAATTCCTCTATGCTTTTCTTATTCAACTCTCTTCCTACACTGGCAATCACAGTTCCTTTCACTATTTTAATAGTTTTGCCTTTTCCAGAATGTCATATAATTAGAATCATACAGCATGTAACCTTTTTGTTTGCAATATATACACTGAAACTTTCTCCAGGTTTTTCATGGCTTCATACTGGTTTCTTTTCAGTGCTGAATAATAACCCACTGTCTGGATGGGTTAAACAATTTGTTTAAACTTTAGCCTACTGAGGGGCATCTTGGTTGCTTCCAGGTTGGGGCAAGCATGAATAAATCTGCAATAAAAATAAAGCAGCTATAAAAACATATGCAGGTTTTTGTGTGAACATAAGTTTTCATATTCCTTGGATAATACCAAAGGAACGTGATTGCACATTCATATGATAAGTGTAGAACTAGCTTTATAAGTAATCGTCAAATTGTCTTCCATAGTGTTATAGTATTTTTTTTAAAGATTTATTTATTTATGCTTACAGAACTGGGGTACAGGCCAGAGGTGTGGGGGGTAAGAGAATGCACCAGAGATAGAGTGGGAGCAGAACAGGCAGATCAACTGAAATACACTGCTGAGGGGAGCAGCAGGAGAGTCAGGAGAGGTCTGCCATGCCATCTGGGTCAGCTCCTTAGCCAAGGATGGAACTTGTGCTGCAGTGGCTTTGGAAAGCTTCATAGTACTGTGCTTTAATACCTTGTGCCACCAGGGAGGGCCCAGTGTTATAGTATTTTTTTTGTTGTTATAGTATTTTTACACCTGTCAACAGTATATGAAAGTTCCTGTTGTTTTATATCTTTACCAACATCTGGTGTTGTCTATGTGGAAGATTTTGACCATTCTAAAAGGAATGTAGGGGGTTTTAATTTTCACTTTTCTGATGACATATGATGTAGTACATCTTTTCATATGCTTAGCTTATTTGCCATCTCTGCCATTGTATACCTCTGGCCTGTCCCCCAGTTCTGTATGCATCTTCCTTGATAGAAATATCTGTTAAGGTTGTTGACCCAATTTTTATTTGAGTTGTTTATTTTCTTTCTGTTGAATTTTAAGAACCCTCTACAATTTGGATAATAATCCTTTACTGGATGTGTCTTTTGCAAACAGTTTCTCCCAAACTGTGGCTTGCTTCTGATACTATTGACATTGTTGCAAAGTAGAGTTTAAATTCAGTGTTCTATTTATCAAATTTTTGTTCCATGGTTTGTGTCTTAGGTGTTAAATCTAAAAAGGTATCACCATCCCATTGTCATCTAGGTCATCTCTTATGTTATCTTCTAGGATTTATAGTTTTGCATTTTAAAGTCTGTGATCCATTTTGCCTTATTTTTGCTATTTCTGCAAGAGACATGTCTAGATTCCTTTTTTTGCATGTGGATATCTAGTTGTCTGAGCACTACTTCTTGAAGAGATTATCACCTTTTCCTCCTTTTACTGCC